TTGATCTAATTTGCTAAATGTTAGCACTGGCAGAATCAGTGCTCAGTCAGGAGGCTCGGGCGGGGGGCCCAGAAGGCTGAGTGGCTGGGACCTCACATGCTATTCTCCATTCTGTTCTCCATCCTATCCCTCATCATTGAGAGCTTGATACAAATGGAACTGTGCAGAGGAACCCAGGCAGGTCAGGCCAGGCAGGCAGCGGGCAATTCGTGCCTAACTCTTGAATGACTGCAGGACTCACCCAAATGCATCCTTAAGCACCTAGAGAAGAACTGCTTCCTGAGAATTTGTCCATTCAGAACTAAACCCAGGGACACATCCTACATCCCTACATCTAGAGCTGCCCTAAGAGGTAACTACCTTGTTACCCCTCCTTCTCTGCACCAGCCCCCCCGCAAATCTGCACCCACATGAATGGGGTTACAGGGGACTTCAAAGGCAACACAGAAGGCAATCTGCTTCCTCTGGGCCAGGGTGGCATGGCACAGGTAGACAGCATAGGCTCAGGAGTGAGACACACCTGGATTCAGGTTTGGGATCTGCTGTCTACTAGCTGTGTGGTAAGTTATGCAATAATACTGCCAATCTCACAGAGTTGCTGTGATAATGGACTGAAGTAATAGCTAATGTTTACTAATAACCAAAGTAACATTTAAAAGGAATACCTAGCAGTCATAGAGCATGTATTACACTTCCATAGCCTTTCGACACAGCTGTACCCAGAACCTGCTATGTGACAGGAACTGTTCTAGGCACCAGGATACAGCATGATCAAAACAAACTCCCTGCTGTAAAGGAGCTCACACTCATCACTGAATGTAAATCCACCATCCAGGGCACTATTGCTGTTCTCATTTTACAGGTGAGAAAACAGACTAGAGAATTAAAGTAGCCTGTCAGGTGTTAAAACCAGGAATTGTCTGACTGCAGAATCTAAACCTGTCACAATTTAATGGTACTGCCCTCTGAGGGCTTAATCCACACAGTGCTCAACACAGACGTAGCATTTGGAAGCACCATGCCTCTTCTTATGGGTTGGCTGCCTGTTTATGAGCCACCTCCTTGTGCCCCAGGTCCCCACCTCCCTGACACTGGGCCCATTCTCTCTGAGCTCAGAGCTTCAACCCCAAAGGGTCCTTTTCATGTTCTGGTCTACTCTTCTTCTACAGATGAGAGGAAAGCCCAGAAAAAAGGAACTTGCCCCAGGTCACCCAGTGAGTTTATGTTGGAGCCAGGGAAAGATCTCAGGTCTCCTAATGTCCAGGCTCATTATTCTGGGGAGGGGCCTTGACACCAGCCCCCACTCTTCAGGACCCTGGGAGACTCAGCCACCTGCAGGACTGAGCAAGGCCCAGGGGAGCTACTAGCCTTGCCAAAGCAAAGACAAGGAAAAAATCAAATGAGGAGGGGAAAACACAGAGATTACACCAACAGGAAGTGTGTGCTAGATCTCAAAGTCAGATCTCAAAAACTCTAAATTTTGAGCTCATTCCAGGCCTCATGCACACATGCATACACATTCATTTTCAATCTCATATTCTCTCTCTCTCTCCATCTCTTCTCTCTCCTTCCTTTCTTCTCCTTCCTTTCATTCCTCCCTCCCTCCCTTCCTCTCCATCTGTCTCTGTCTCTCTCTTCTGTCTGTCTGTCTGTCTGTCTCTCTCTCTCTCACACACACACAGAGCATCTGAGTCTAGAGACCAAGGTTAAGGTATAATCACAGTGAGTGTGAGCCCCACATTTCTGAGGACAGAGCTGC